TTGGAACATATTTAGAATATTATAGTATCAAAATTTATCATTTCCTTAAGAGATTTAAAAAACCATTTAGTGTGCTTTTCTGTATTATATTAAATCTTTTGGATATTTTTTCTGAAGGAATATATCTCTATCATTATAAATAAAATTGGTAGGAAATGAAACCTGGTAGAATACACATGTTACTTTATGACACTTTAACTTTCTATAACATGACACTTATATTCTGAGAAGCTCTCTGAAGTACGGTGTTTGAGATTTTAAAGCAAAAAGTGATTAGAGTAAGGCACAGCACATGTTGCTTATCTTATAACATTGTAGGAGTAAAGAAATGACTTTAATAATTAATTATGAGTTAATAAAAGTGCCAGGGTTTTTGGGGGGGCAGGGTCTCACTATGCAGTTCAGGCTGGCCTTGAACTCACTTTGTAGCCCAAGCTGGCCTCAAACTCATGGCGATTCCTCCTGCCTCAGCCACCTGAGTGCTGGGATTAGAGGGATCAACATGCCCACCTCCAAAGTGCCACTTTTTATTTTGAACATATAAAAGTGTGTTTTTAGCTGAACTCTGAAGTAAGACAGTTTTTTTTCCCCCCAGTTGTTTTTCATTGCTATTTGTTGTGTTAGGGATCAAATCCAGGACCTCGGGTATGCTAGGCAAGTGCTCTACCACAAAGTTAAATCTCCAGGCCCTGGGATAATTTTTATAATTGCTTGGTTTTGTTTTGTTTTTTGTTTGAGACAGGTCTCACTACGTAGCCCAGGCTGGCCAGGAACTTACAGTGATCTTTCTGCCTCAGCTTCCTAAGTGCTGTCCTTATAGGTGTGTGCCACCATGCCTGGCTATAATTAGATTTTAAAATATGAATGTGAGCTGAGCTTATAAAACTATTTATTTATTTAATGTATTTATTGTGCTGTACTAGGGATTGAACCCAGGGAGCACAGAGCTATATTCTCAGCCTTTTCTAAATTTTTTATTTTTATAATAGGTCTTGCTAGATTGCTCAGGCTGACCTTGAATTTAAAACCCTCCTACCTCAGCTTCCCAGGCACCTGGAATTATGGGCATGTGTCACCACACCCAGCATAATTGATTTTCACAGTCTAACTTACATCTTACTCTATCTTTCTCATCTCTTCCAGCCCCTGTTTATCAAGTCCTTTGCAGTGGGAAAAGTGGGGCACAGCTTCAGATTTCTAAAACACTTAACTCAGTAAAACCACGAATGCCTTCCAGATTGTGAAACCCTATATCTTACACTATACTTAAAAGATTGCTAGCTGACAAGAACAATTTAAAAATAGCAGACCATGGATAGGTGACAGAATGTCACACTGGTAGCACCAGCCTGCATTAACAAAAATCACCAGATGTCACACACTTGGTGCTGTTTTCACAGCTGATTAAACAGCAGCTTTGGTTGGACACAGGAAGAGAAAAGAAGTGATCTCATCTGAATTATGAATTAGTTTGTATTTTGCGGTTGTATATATTTCTTTCTTCAAAAATCCCTTAAGAAGTGTAAAACTTAAGTCACACAATACATTAAGAAAAAATTATAACATATACCAACTCCTCATGATGTAATCATTATGTACCTCAAAGTTGTCCTAATAAAAATAAAATTTAAAAAAATTATAAAATGATTCTGGTCTTGGAAAAGAAACATCATATTTCTTAAACTGGAAGAATACTGTACAAACCAAAAGGTTAAGTGTGTTTATCTTTGGTGATTTTATTTTCTTCATCTTTTCCATATTGTCTTAATTTTCCTCCAATTAAAATATATTGTATTTTATAATCTAATCTTTTTTTTTTTTTTTTGGTACCAGGAATTGAACTCAGGATCTTGCACTTGCCAGGCAGATGCTTATGCCACTGAGCTAAATCCCTGGCCCTGTATTTTATAATCTAAACATTAATTTTTGAAGATGCAAAAATTAGTTTAAAGAAGATATAAGTGGTTTTACAAAAAATTTGCATTTAGTTGGAGGAAAAATTATATTTAGATCATAGATCTATTGGCCTAGCAATGACCACAAATTTGTTTCTTTTTTTGTTTTTTTCTTTTTGTTTTTTGAGTAAAGATCTCTCTATATAGGTCTACTCAGTATGTAGTCCAGGTTGGCCTACAATTTGAAGTGATCTTCCTGCCTCAGCTTCCTGAATGGTGGGATTATAGGAGTGTGCCACCATGTCCAGCCAGAGTTTCTTAACAAAAAATCTTAATGTTAATTGTTCCTCTCCAATATTGGGGATTGAATCCAGAATCTTTGTACTGAGCTACATCCTCAGCCCTTTTATTTTTATTTTGAGACAAAATTTCACTTATTGGCTAAGTTGCCCAGTCTCAGCTCAAAATTTCTTTAGGCTGCCAGTAGGATCACAGATGTGTGCCACTGTACCTGACTCATTAACTTTTATCCAGAGATCTGTTGAAGTCAAATAGAACTAGGGAGAATACTAGGAAATATAAAAATGTGCTCTCTTTTCAACAATTAGTGATGCCTTCTCTCTGCAAAACAGTGCCTATGATTCTTGTTTTGCCTCTTAGGAGAGAATGAATTGGAAGTAGTCAGTGTACGATCGATGGAGAATGAGGACTAGAAACAGCCCAACTTCCTTTCAGTGTCATCTTTCCAAGCAGAAAAGTTCTAATTCCTCGTGAAAGGGTTAGAAAGGTTCTCTATGTGTATGTTTACATTCTAGAGGACTGCAAATGCACCCTTTTAAGTCTGAGGTACCTCCAGAGACACACAAAAGACGTTATTTGTAGTGGGTATAAACTATATAATTCTTCACTGTAAATGTAGAAACAGGAAACAGAATTAGTAAATGAAGATCAGCTAAATTTGGGCTTACTTGATTTTCTTGATAACCTTTATTATTCTGGTAATACTAGAGAGCTAGAGAACATAGCTGGATTTTTAGGAACCACACCCTCCTCTAAATATTCTTTGGCCCAAGATTAAAAAGAGCTGGTATGTCTTGAAGTTCTAATGGCTAGTGATTTTGAACTCCTGAAGGATTTTAAAGTAGGTTTTCCAGTGACTACTATTACTATTAAATTTGAATTCCATATAACATGATGAAGCTATTTTAAGTCACATTTAGTTTGTATGGATGTTAGTATTTGGTGGCTGGGAATCCACATAAAGTTGTGATTATCAGGAAGTAATGGAGAGAACATTGATACAGTTTATTAAATCCAGAATGTAAACTCTTTCTGCTGAATGAGTCTTTGGTGGCAAATTTTTCTATAATAGTTTCTGATCAAGGTAGTGGTAGGAGATAGCATTCATTGCATTTTGATATAGACTGTAATTTTCAGGCACTCTCAAATGACATTAAAAATATAATAAGGCTATGGAACAATTTTATTCATAGATATATTTAATTGGTCTTTCTAACAATGGTGTATTCCTGATTAGCTTCGGGAAAATATAAAAGGGTTATGAAGTTTATAAAAATAAAATAAGCATGGTTTTTCTATAGAAAAATTATAATATATTCTGTAAAAGAATTTGATTATATTATAAATGCTAGCAAAATAGGTTCCATAAAACTAGAGACAGGTGTAATATTTTTGTTCTAATAGGATTTAAAGTAATAAAAACTAAAAATAATTTTTATTGATATCCCTGTAGTACTTGAGTACTTAACAATAAAATTGGAACAGTTTCATAAGAACCCATCAATTGATGATGATTTTCCCATTCTTATATACATGCATTAATACAATTACAGCTTTTTTCTGAGATAGAGTCTTGCTATGTAGTATAGGCTAGCCTCAAACTCATGGCAGTCCTCCCGTTTCAGCCTCCTGCTGGGATTACAGGCATGCACCACCACACCCAGCTGGAACACAAAACTTTCCTTTCAACAAACTAAAATAAACTAGTAGTATAAATGAGACAAATTAGCATCCATATTAAAATATTTTGAAACAACCCAAATAATTTGGTGAAACATTTGAACTTCTCTCTATTCGCTATTTATCTGTCTTCTATTTTGCTTTTTATTTGTATGTGTATGTATATATACACACACATATATGCATACATATATACATATACACCATATAGTGTTGAAGACTTGGTTAAGAGATCTTACTAATATGTTTGTTTCCCCATACAAGACTCTAGTGTTTAAAAAACACTTCTACCTCTTTGTCATTAAATAAAAAAATAAGACGTCTGCATTTTTAATTTTTACCTCTGGTGGCCATTAGCCACCAGATTTTAGTATGTCAACCTATAGACTAAGAGTTGCCAATTTTGTGAAGGGCTAAAGACTAAATATTTTAGGATTTCTAGGCCACATGGACCCTGTCACATATTATTCCTTGTTTTTGTTTGGATTTGCAACCCTTAGAAATGTAAGTGTAATTCTTAGCTCAGAGGCAAACAAAAATAGCCGGCTGATGTGGGCAGAAGTTTGCAACTCCTGGTATAGACCGAAGGATAAAAGTCCGGAAATTACCTGTATGCCCAAGTTCACAGACCTAGCGAGTGGTTAGAGCAGTGCAAGAACTCCAGATTGTAGTCATTTTCTCCACTATGTCTGTTACATAAATTTTACCATCTTTCTTCCAGTTGCCATTCTGATAATTATGTTGCATATTGTCTTTTTATTCTCTCTAAGCTTTGTTTATCTACTTTGAATTATTTTTGTGCTTGAATTTGAAGGGCTGTGTGAATGTTGTTTAAATAAAATGCTTAATCCAGAGAGTTGGCATGTTTAAATCAGAATGTGGGCGATAATGTAAATTATTATGGAAGCTTCTTTTTTGTTTTGTATTTTGTGTTGGGACATTGGCTTTGTTTTAAGACTTTTCATATATGTTTTTGATTTAAAAACTGTTGCTGCCTTGGCCTTTGGTAACATTGTTTTAGATTAATTTGTTGCAACTTTTTGTAATGCTTATATTTTACAATGTATTTGAAACAATTTCACTGAGCATTCTTTGTGCTTAAAATAAAATTATTTTATTTTTTAGGGCGCATGGGAATAAATTTCCATCATCCTGGAACAGATAATATTATGGCACTTAACAGTAAGTCTTCATATGAAATATTCTATAAAATTAGCAAATTTCCAAATGTCATTTCCACTTTTCTAAATTAATTGTTCAGTACTTTTCAGCCTTTCACTGAGAGTAGTACAGATCGTTATTCTGTACCAGTGATTCTCAAAGTGTGCTCTCTGCACCAACAGCATCAGTGTCAGTAGAGAACTTAGGAAAAATGCATAGTCTCAGGCCTTTCTTAATTAGAAACTTTAAGGATTAGGCCTAGAAATCTATATATTAAAGTCTCATAGGTGAGTCTGATGTAGGCTAAAGTTTGGAAATTGCCGCTGCATACCATGGTGTATACTACAACCATGTAAGCCAAGTCTGGCCTAATTCCTGTTTTTTCAAAATAGTTTTATTGGACCACACCCATTCATTGGTGGGTTGTCTGTGGCTACTACAGAACCTGTGTGCCAACTTTTGCTCCATGCTATTTGAGTGGGGCAGTGAAAGAAGGAGGCAAATGGAGAGATTGAGGAGAGGGCGTAGGGTGACAAATGTGACCGAATGAATTGTGGTAAATGGCTGACATTTGTTTTAAGCTGGGTATACAGAAGTCTCCCATTAGTGAAATTTGCATGTTATAGGTGTTGAAAGCTTTGTAGATAGGAGATAGTTTAGTCAGTATAATTGTTGAATTAAATTATAGAGCAACAAAATAACTATTTTCTGTGGGGTTTTTTTTGTTGTTGTTTTGTTTTTGTTTTTTTTTTTGAGACAGGATCTTACTATGTAGTCTAGTCTGGCCTTGAATTCACTATGTAGCCCAGGCTGGCCTCGAACTTGCAGCAGTCCTCCTGCCTCAGCCTCCTGGCTGCTGAGATTACAGGGATGCACCATACGCCTGGTTCTCATTTTCTAATTTCTAAAAGAAAGGTCACTTTACATTTAGATTATATTCTAATTTCTGTCTAATGGGATGAGAATTAATAAACATGCTTAATTTGCTGAGCTTCAGGAATAATTGTGAAAAGACTTAAGTTAGATACTGGAATTTAGAGTTGAATTTTTAAAAACCTGGGTGTGGTGGTACATGCCTATAATCCTGGTACTTAGGAGGCTGAAGCAGGAGGATTGCTGCAAGTTTAAAGCCAATCTGGGCTACATAATGAGTTCAAGGCCAGCCTGAACTACATAGTGAGAACCTGTTTCAAAACAAACAAACAAACAAACAAACAAAAACTAGAATGGCATTGTATTTGCCTGAAGCGATTAGAATATATCTGAGAAAAGACCTAATTTGATATGATGTGAGTCTCCTGAAAGAAGGAGAGGACATCATTTGTGATTGTCTGTGTAAAAAATGAAACTAGAAGTCATTTTTCAAAAAGGTTTTGATGGTCTTTGGTTTGATTTTCTTCAATTCTGTACTTTTAAATAAATAGATATTTAAGTGCTTTCCATTTTGTACCTGTTGCTTAAATCTTTTAGCCTCAGTTTCCTCATTTCTGAGAGGATGGCACTGATTAGGTAATCTCAGTGACTGCCTTCAGCATGTAGCTCCAGTGCTGCTGTGACTTTTGTGGGTAAGGTACCAGAAAGGCCATTGTGCTGGTTTATACGTATATCAGACGGTAATGAACTTCACGTAGTTGCAGTGTGATGGCAAGTAGGAGAGAACATTAGTTTTCAAATGGTTCTGTGGAGTCCCAAGGTTAAACAACCCTGTTGACTCCTCAGAATAAATCATAAAAAAAACCAGAGTTTGACATTTGCCTTTTCTACTGTTTTAGTCACTTTTCTTATTGCTGGGACAAAATAGCACATACCTGCAACTCAGGGGAGAGGTTTATTTTCACTCACATTTTGGAAGGGTCTTTTCGCTTTTTTTTTTCTTTTTTTTGAGATGGGTCTTGCTGTGTATCCCAGGCCTGCCTTGCAATCACAGCAGTCCTGCCTCAACCTCTGAAGTGCTCAGATTACAGGCATGTGCCACCATACCCATCTTCATTATAGTCTTTGCGTAGTTGGAGGCATGGTGGAAGGGCCTAGAATGTACCCCCTTCAGTGAAGCCCCTAATGACCCTTTTTTCTGACGAGACTTCACCTCCCAACATCACATGTAGCTGTGTTGCCCTGTAATCGATCACCTTCTACAAGCCCTGCCTATGAGCACAGGCAGCTCTTGAGAGACATCTAGATATGAACCATACACCTATGACTAATTTTAGAGTTGTCTCCAATTTGAGATGATCATATCTCTTTGGGAGATACTTTTGGAACCTGCATGCTTTGACAGATTTATGTGCTGTGATAAAACTTTTCTTCCCTTTTGTATAATTGCGCCCAGCTCATCTAGTGACACACACACACACACACACACACACACACACACACACATATACACACACACGCATAGAGAGAGAGAGAGCACATGCACAAACGCAGTGGTGTATTTTTGTCTTCTTTTTTGCCTATTATTTGTTGACCTAACAGTTAATGTCCTGTGACTGGTCTGTTGTTTTTCCTTTTCCTCTATTTTCATATAAGAATAACTGAGATGAATTCAGAACTTTTGTGAATTTAGAATTTGTGACTATTGGAGGGTATTAGACTGAAGTTGAACTATCTTTTCAGGAAAGAAGAAACTAAGAAAATTTAGGGGTTGAGGAAATACTTATATTTATATCAAAATGAAATGAGTTGTAATCCCTTCTTTCTTATCTCTTTTTCTATGCAAAATGTTTCCTAACTTTTTACTCAAAGCCTCCATTCACTGTCTTAAAAAAATCTTTCACTTTCTTTCCTTGCTTTTTTCTTCCCCTTTAGGATAGGATCCGCTGTGTAGTTCAGGCTGACCTTGATAGAACTCTTCTCACCTCATTCTTCCACGTGCTGGGATTACAGGCCTGTGCCACCCCGTCTGGCGTTCTTTCACTTTCTTCGCCTCACCAAAACCTGAATCTCTCTGTTCTCAACTCTCTTAACTTGATGGGAAAGAGAGATGTCATGGCGAGCTTTCTCACTTGCGAACTTTTAAGGGACTAGTTTCCTTCTTTGTTTGTTTGGTTTTTTGGTGTTTTTATTTAGTACATGTGTTCCAGTTATACTTTCCACCGAGAATCGCCTCTCCTGATGTTACCTAGAAGACAAAAAATGAAGCTTAGGAGAGGACAGTAGGATATCAGCTGGGGAAAACAAGTAGGAATTAGGAGTGCACTTGTAGACAGTATGACAAGACTGGCAGGGTTTATATAAAGCCAGAGTCTGCTGATTTTCCTGTTCAAGACTGAATCTAGAAAGAATTAGCAGGCCAGCTTTTGGGATGGAACCTAAGAGATGCAATTAAATTGTGGCATTTCTCCAAAATATTAGGTTCTCAAGTATTGTAGAATATGAAGTGGGAGCTACAAGGGAAGGAACTCTAGTCCATCAATAAAACCTGCTACTTTTCAGTATTTCCAAAATATAGTTTTAAAACAGTGGTGCCCTTTCCACTAAAATAGGTAATATATTTTTTAACTTTCTAATAATTATGAAAATTACATTTTCTTTACCCTGATACCAAAAACACTAGAAGCTTGCATAATCTATTTATTTTTCTTGCTGGTAAAGGTAGGAGACTGCTGAGAATACTTGAAGCTACATATATACTACCAGATCCATCAGCCACGTTTTTCTAGCACTAATAGTGGCATGTGTTTTTGGTTTTGCTTTTTACACTGTGGTCTTTTATAGGATTGATACCTGACTTTATTTGTCCTTGATTATGTAGGTCCTCGGAAAATGATGTTTGTATCTCCCTGACTGGCCCAAGTGAGCCAAATGTATGGTCAAATTAAGGTTCAAAACCAGAATGCCTGGTATCCATTTTAGAGTGGAGATACTGCTGGCAAGTGTGATTGAGCCTCTTTCTCCAAGTAGAAAATAGGCTGGGGAAAGTAGATAAATAACAGAAAGTTGCTTGATGAGGACAGAACGACAAGCACAGGAATAGTGTGGCTTAATGGATAGAGGTCTTTCAGTCCTGTGAGGCACCTTCCAAGCTCACTGAAGGCTGGTGAAACCTGGTGATGCAGCAATGAATTAGCATAACCGTGAGAAGTGTTTTTTGGAGACAAGCAGATCTGATTTCACCTTTAATCTGGAGACAGCTAGGTTTGGTGACACATGCCTATCATCCAGCACTTGGGAGGCTGAGGCAGGAGAATCTTGGTGAGTTTGAGGCCAGCCTAGGCTACACAGAGAAACTGTCTCAAAAAGACCATAGAGAGACTGATAGATAGATAATGAGCTGGGCAGGCTGGCACGCACCTCTGATCCCAGTATTGATCCCAGTATTGCAGCTGAGACAGGATGATAGCAAGTTCAAGTCCTTCCTGGGCAGCTTAGTGATTTAGCAAGACTCTGGCTCAAAATAAAAAGGGCTGGGGATGCAGTTCAGTGTTAGAGCGCCCCTGGGCTCCATTTCTAGGCCTACAAAAAAACAAAAAAACAAAAGAGAGGTAAAGATCACTACAGTAGCTATACATAAATGTTGTAAAGCTTAGTATAGTGCCTAATTTGTAGATAATGCTCTTGTGAGCTGCTATTGTGGTTGCTTGCATCATCAGTTTTGTTGATACAAAAATCTTCCTTTCTTTGTATATCAGATTTCTTTTTTTTTTTTTTTTTTCAGTACCTGGAATCGAACTTAGGACCTTGTGCTTGCCTCGCAGGCGCTTTGTATCAGATTTCTAAAATGAGTTTATCTTACATTGTTTGTATACAGACAGACATTTTCCTGATGGAATTTAAGGACACGCACTGTAAATCATCTTGTAGCCTAGAACAGCCATCCTGGGATACATCCCCATCTGTTTCTGTGTGATTCTTTTTCTCTAGATGAGCTACTTCCCACCTGTTACTTTGGAATATGCACCTTCTTTGGGGCCAGCCGCTCGCTGTAATACGTTCTTTGAAATTCAGAATGTCACAGCCACTTTGGAAAGCAGTTTGTCCTTAACTTAAAAAGTTAAACATACCTTATACTGCAGAACTTC